CCCCCCTGAACTGAGGGCCCCCCCTGAACTGAGGGCCCCTGAACTAAGGACTTCTTGACTGAACAGAAAGGTTATGTTGTAGGGTTCAGGATTTAACATATATGCTGACACATTCCAGTTCAGCTCGTTGGTGTACAAGCAGTTGATTGCATACCAGTTTTCATGGACGGCAAAGGAGGTGTTTGGCTGCGACCGTTTAGTGATTCCGTGTGCGGTGCCATTTCAGAGTGCATGGAATGTGAAGGAGAACATTTCATTGGCAGGTGCATTGGGATTGGCAATGGTCCAGGTGGGTACGTTCTTGGGCATATGGGAGTCGACAAGTTCAATGTTATTGGACGAATTTGATGGATTGGTCACATTGCCTAAAAGTTTGTTCCACGTGTTCAACGACGCGTTCGACGACCCTGCGTTTCCTGCCGAGGACCATCCGTCTTTCGCACTTGAGCAGATATATTGCACTCCCCGCGTTTATGGACACCCCGATGTGTCTACGCGGTATTGTTGGCTGCAGCGTTTCGACAATTTGGACTTTGGTCTCCATGAGTTGCTGCTGCATACGTGCAAACAACTACAGGTCTTCAACGCATATTCACCGCCGCGGTCCTACGTCGTCTCCTTTCCGAGGCTGGGCAATCAGCTTCTGCGGGTCCTAGCTGCAGAGGAACACTACGACGGGCTGCTGCTCGACTTGGTCAACGATAACGTAGCCCCGACAGACCTACCGCACTCATACCCAATCGTCAAACGACTCTACCAAACAATCAGCCAAGGCCCAGTGGACCTGAAACAACTACTTAGTCTCCTGACGTCCCTACAAGACGACTTACTCACAGCACAAACATCGGGTCAGACCCCCAGTCAGACACCGGGTCAAACGCCCGGACATACATCAGGTCATATCCCCGGTCAGATCGGGCCGGGAAGTGCTGAGGACAGCGACAACAACAAAGGCCAGCTGATCTGCCAAATCTTAGAAGAGATACGGGCACTCGCCTTAACAATTAACGCCATCGTGAGAATGGAAACCACGGATACAACGGAACACAAACACGGCCACGTGTCGCCTCAGCAAATAAGATCCTGTGAGTGTCTGGTGGGTCGCGACGCTACGTCCCTGGACCCCTGCGTGGACGACAGAGTCATCCGCTCTTTCGAGCTAAGGGCGGCCAATACGACCATCAACACGACCATCAACATCGGAAGGAAGGAGGAGTCACGGAGGGACGGGTCTCAAGAGGAAGACGGGGCTCGAAAGGAACGGGGGTCTCGAAGGGAAGACGAGTCTCGAAAGGAAGACGAGTCTCAAGAGGAAGACGGGTCTCGAAAGGAAGGCGGGTCTCGAAAGGAAGACGTGTGTCGGAAAGAAGGGGAGTGTCACCGAGTAGGTGACTACTTGGCCGATGGCGGGGACGAGGAGTTTTCGGCGGGTGGTCCGTGTCCTGGAGTGGGTGTGAAGTTTATGTTATTTGGTGCATTACCGCCGAGCATTGTACCGGACCGTTGGTTGCTTTGGTTCCAGCTGCCGGTAGAGCTCGGACTGACGGTCAGTCCGTTGCTGGGTGTGGGCGGCGTGCACGTTGCGAGTGCGTTGGTGGACCGGGGTTCTCAGGCGCCTGTAGCGGACCGCGATGGTAGCTGGACTCGACAAGATTCTCGTGCGTCTCTCTTATTTTATGTGGAGATCGATGTGGAGTTCTTTAGCAAGGTGGTAAACCATCATGAAATTCATTCATCCCTCATGCTGGCTCAGCTTTGTTCGCCACACGTGCTGGTAGTGTTCCAGCGCTGGGGAGTCAGCCACGACTGTCGTGAGCTCACTAGCGCGCTGCAGGCACTTGGCTTCGCCACCGAGCTCAGACTCCGACCTGTCCTCAACTTCGAAGTTCTCAAACGCGAAGTCTTCCGAAGAAGCCTCGGCGTCTCCTTCATTATTTACGTGCGCCAAAACAGGTCACATGGCAGGCCCCATACACAAGGAGGTTCCACACAAGGCTCGCAACTCAGTTACAAAGTCGATGTTGTCGGCATGCCCGGTGGCATGTTCACGCATTCCACACAGTACAGAAGTCAGAGTGAAGTAATTGCTTTTGTCCTCGGACACTCGTCACGCACCAAGTCTCTGCTGAAGAGCAGCATTCTCAAACGGGCCAGCCACAGGCACACCCTCTCTTAGCAATCTACCAAACCCAACCAGGACAACAGTTATGACGAGAAACAAGACCGACAAGGACCAGAACAATAGCCAGCACAAGGCCGACTGAACATGCTCGTCTCCACTGGATGGACGCTCTCTTTGGTCCCAGACACATACTGCCAGACACATACTGCCGGACACATACTCCCGAGCACACACTCCCGGACAGACACTCCCGAGCACACACCGCACCTTTGCCCTACACTTCGAATGAAAGTAGCTTTTGCCAAGAATATTACCTCAGCAACTAATCACAATGTTCGCTGGGATCAGTAATCGGGATGGGATGGTCTCGGACACGGAGGAGGTGTGTGCCGCTATGTTCCAAGAGGGAAATCGTTTCAAGAACCCGCAGCTGGAATTTCCCAACCGACAGGCGACTCAAGACTGCCGCGAGCAAGGGCCTGCCGCGAGCAAGGGCCTGCCGGGAGCAAGGGCCTGCCGCGAGCAAGGGCCTGCCGCGAGCAAGGCCCTGCCGCGAGCAAGGGCCTACCCATTAGTAAACACGGCTGGAGTGGTAGTAATAACATCCGGCAGGTAAACCAGGACAGCCGTTTAATGGTCCTAGCTGCTTGTATTTAACTCCTGTAGCAGCTGCGAAAGGGAAGTAGCTGCATCCTGCATAGCGATAATAATGGTCTAGGAGCAAGGTGCACATGTGTCGTTAAAAATGAAATGTAGGGTAATATGGTTCCTTGCTCTTCAGTGTGTGGCTGATTTCGATACCTTGCCAGCCCCAATCAAGTACGAGACGGAGGTGAAAATCCGGGAGGAAGAAGAGTCGCATCACGGTAAGATATTCCCATAATTTTCACTAAACGGACGTCATGCTATCTTCACATTCGCACTAGTGTTCCCACTTGTACTGGTGTGTTTATCTTATGAGCATTGCTATCATCCTTGCGTTTGTTTTAGAACAATGGGCGAAGCTGCTAGATGACATCGATTTGAAGAATTTTGAGATTCCGGAGTCTGAGGCAGACAATAATGCGCCGTTCAACGCGGCATTATTCAAGCCAATGTACGCTTTCCGGTTGCGCGTGCCGGGTTTGTCCGACTACTGGACGGTGATGGAGCCGTATTCGTTGGAGCCGTTGACGTCGTTGCGGATTCCGGCGGCGCTCAAGGTGACGTACAACGGACAGGATCTGGATTTGAACCTGCCTGCCAAGTTACAGGGCGTTACGTCTGGCGGCGTGATCACGGTGGCGACGCCGGACCCGGCGGAGACTGACAAAGTGTATCCGTTCAAGTCGCGGAAGCCGAACGGCCAGCGGTGGTACACGCTCAAGACGCATAAACTACGTAGTCAGGCGGACGTGGATGCAGACGCCGCGGCTGCCTCCGTGGACCCTGAGGTGGGCGCGGGCCTGCGCGCAATGCAGAGCAGCAGTGCGGGCCTCACCAACATGGTAGCCAGCGACAAGAGTGCCACGGGCTTGGCCATGACCAACTGCGACGAAACCGCGGAGGAAGTAGCAGTCGACGAGGAGGGCCGCATGGAGAAGCCGTCGGTGGTGAACTACGTGACCGCACGCGATAAAAACGTTATCGAACAGTATCTCGGAGTGAACGTCTGCGACCTCGTGGTCTTCGGGCCGAACGTCTGCGAACCAAACGATCCTGCCCGACGGTATTTAATGCGGGAGTATGTGCGCAAGCGAGCAATCGTATTTGCAGTGGTAATGGTTGCCTTCGGGTCGGCGGTGCTCTTGCTTCAAATCATCATGCGGTTCCTACACCGGCGACTGATGCGGAAGGACGACAAGTTCATGTTATTGCTGCTGGAGACAACATTCCGCACCTTGTCGATGGTGGCGATAGGAGGATCTTTAATCAAGCTGGTCTTCAGCTGGGACTTTCTGCAGGAGGAATGGGAGTATAGCATTTTCCACCGGCTATTTCTGGAGATGCACGTACCGATTCCCTCGGGAGAGGTGCTAAATAATTTGGTGAACGTGTTTTTGGTGCGTGTGGATGACTTCGTTCTGCTCTATGGCGTGTTCGGAGCGCTCTTCACGACGCTGGCACATATGGACTTCGTGCGGCTGCGCGAAGCGGACGAGATTGCGTTAATTGAGGCGATGAGCAGCAAGCGGCCGGACCTGATCGACTTTTTCGTGGCACGATACGAATATAAGGACCGCGTTAATTCGCGTATGCTCGGCGGCTTGGACCACCCCAGCTGTTGGTTCGTGGAGTACTTCCACGCCGGTGTGTTGCAGACGTCCCGAGAGATTCTGCGCTTGCCGATCTCGACGTTGATTTTGTTTCTGGCGGGTATTGGCGCAATTTTCCCGCTCTACCGCCTCTACCGGCTTAAGGCGCTCGCCGTGGTCATGGCCGTAGCATTGCTGGCGCCCGGGTGCCTGACGTTGGTCTTTATCCGCCTGCTCTGGATCAAGCGTCAAATGCTGCCCGTAGATGTCGACCGCTACTGTTTGCTGCGGTTCCAGCTGGACCACGGCATGGGGGAGGTGACGGAGACACAGTTGGACATGCTGGCCGAGAACCTGCCGCGGTACCGCCTTGGTCGCGGCCCTCGTCAGTTTGAACACACAGACTCGGCGTGGTGGAAGGCACGACTATACGGCACCATGCGGCCGACGCGGCACGATCAGCTGTTTTTGCTAGGTCGTCGCGGTCCGGGTATCCTGTTCCGGTTAGTACAGGGTAGCTACCTGTTGCTGCTATGTGTGTGCTCTTATGTTCTCGAACAGCTGGATTCGAACGCACGTCTCTGGACGATCGACTACGGCTTCTGGCCCCTCATAATGATGGCCCTCATTATCGCCTACTCGCTTTCCCTCCTTCCCACGTTGTTGCACACGTTAACGCTCGTTACGTACACTGGTATGCGGGTCGACGACGACATGCTCATTCAGGTTGTGCAACAAGCTCGCACCATATTCATCACTAAACTGACTTACTTCCTTGATGGCATCCGCTGCCAGGCCATGCTCTGGCATGTCATCCAGGGTGGCCCCGAGCTATGGGAACGTCTCCACCAGTTGCATTTACGCCAGCCCCTCGGCATCCGCGAAGACCGCCACGCACTCTGGCTCTCGCTCACCTGCGATACGGACGGCGTCATGAACGACGATGTCATCAAGGAACTCTTCCTCCAACAGGGCGTCAACCTCGGCTCCAAAAAAGCCGTCTTCGATTGGCTACGACTCTTCCGTACCAAAACGTTCAGTGAACGACAATTCAACATCATGCTCTTTGTCATCCACGATATGCTCTCACCCGAGGGATTGGACCACGACACCATGCGCGACTATCTCATCAACAAAATCGACATCGATCCTATCGTCGAATGGCAACATATCCAAATGCTCGCACGTGAAGTCGGAGACGAAGACCAATGGTCCCGCGTCGACTGCAAACATCTCATCGCTTTCCTCGCAGGCAACCCTCATATCACCGAACTCAGCATCGCTGACTTTATCAATGCAGTCGTCGACGTTGACCGCACCACCATTGGCGCTCTAGGAAAGGCAGCAAAACACGTCAAAGATTCCAAGATCAGAGTCGCCCCACTCCCAGACTACTAACAGTCAACCTAACACTCCACCAAGCTCTACGGCGAATACATTTTTACGTGAACTCAGTGTCAGACAGGGATAACTTATCATTCCGCCATCTCCTCTAGACCGTGGCTCTCTGTGCCTGTCTAGCTCTCTTTAAGAGTGGAACTCGCCCCTTGCCGGTCGGTCGGTCGGTCGGTGTGTATCGTTTTTGTCTCGCTTACCTCTGTGTGTGCGGGAGCGTTGGTAATGAGTTTTTGCGAGCATTGCGTCAAGGGCGTGGTACATGAAGGTGAACCGGTGGGCGTAATGGAGACGGTGGCTGGGGTGCCGGTGTACGTTGCCCGACCGAAGAGTGGAGGTGAGGATTTATTGGTGCTGATAGCGAGTGACGTGTTTGGACTGGGTTTAGTGAACACCAAGCTGTTGGCAGATAGTTATGCCGGGAATGGGTTTCTTACCTGGGTCCCTGACTTGTTCGAAGGGGATGCGGTGCGTGTGACTGATATGAACCAACCTGGGTTTTCATTTGAAGCATGGAAGACTGCTCATGAGCCCGGACCCGTGCTGGAGAAGTTCGTGAAGCCGGTCATCGCGGCCTACAAAGCGGCCCACCCGGAAGGCGTTGTTGCCTGTTTGGGCTTCTGTTATGGTGGCAGACTTGCAGTGGATCTAGCCCTAGAACGAAGCACCGTGGCTACCAGCATTGCCCACCCCAGCCTGCTGCAGCTCCCGGAGGACATGTATAAGCTAGCCTCCGTCTACTCAGACAGAGCAGTCCAGATACACTCCTGCGAACATGATCCCATGTTCCCCCCGTCGGCCTTCGACGAATGTGACGCCGCCTTCCAGCCGCTCGGAACCAGGTATCAGAGGACCTACTCACCTGGGTGCTCCCACGGCTTCGCCGTTCGGGGCGACCTCTCAATCCCGCACGTCAAAGCAGCCAAGGAAACCGTCTTCAACTCCACGGTCCAATTCCTCAAGACGCACACCAAATAACCCAAACACGCCCCTCTGCACGCGGCTCATAACGCACGTGTGCTAAGATAAACACACCTGTGCTAATATATTTTTTGGTATCCACACGGGTGGCATCTCAGGCACGGCACGACCCACTTTTTGCTGCACGAAAGTGACCGTCGAGGGCACAAGCAAAAGTCGCCAAACGTTTCGCTGATTGTCCCCAGCAACTGATTTGGTGACCGCAGTTGAAGACCGCCTATCTGTTGTCCTTATCTATCCGTACCTGCAAGTCTCAGGGCCGTTGCACTGGACTGAAGTCTCAGGTCCCGTTACTAGAAACGGGGCCTGAGACGAGGATTACACCTGAGACGGATTACATCCGTTACTGACCTGAGACGAGGATTACACCTGTCGTAGACGCAACAGTGAAACCGGCAACTCCTTAAGGCTTGAGTCCTCCAGCGAACCAGGGGGGCGCCAAAACAAGTGATAGCGCTTCACCCGAAAATGACTTGAGGTACCCGGAGTAGCTACCGGAGTAGCTACAGTTTGATTTCATCGCAGTTTGATTTCAGTTTGCACTTCAATGATTTCATCGCAATGGGCAGGAACATGGGCGACAGCAACTGGTGTATGGTGCGGGCGAACGTCCGGTACGTAACCCTCAAGATCGGCATCGCGATCGGTATCGGATTCATGGCTTGTTCATCGCGGCGGGCGTTTTGCCCTTGTCGCTCAACGATCTCGCCAGCGGCTTCAACATTGCAATGTTCCACCATGACCGGGTTTACAGTCGTCAATGGTGATCTATTTCCTGTACCAGGTGGTCGGTCGTTCGGGGCGAACCTTTAAAGGAGACCATTGACGACGACATGAAGACCGAGTACGGACGCCTGCAACGGCTGAGGCAGAAGGAGGTAAACCGAGACTAGCGGACCGATATCGTTAAGGAAGGTGCTGTGGTGACCAAAATCATTAGCAGGTTTTCACCTGGCCTTATTGGATTCGGCGAAAGGTAGACCAAGATCATGCTCCTAAGCGACCTGTATGTACCCGTCACCCGTGTGGGGTGTGGAGGGAAGTTATATTGATATCCAACTTGAGCGCAACAATTTATTACCCGACATCCCATCCCGGATCAAGTACCTGAAGCTCACCGCCCAATGCAAAGCTCAAGCTTTGGCGGAACTACAGCATTCCAAATATTCGAGGCGATTTGTCGATCGGCAGGATATCCGTTATCTGGCCATCGTTTTCGTGAGTACCCGAGCTACCCGGACTTTCTTACGGGTAGCTGAAAATCAACATCGTAACGACGATGAACGGGCGGAAGCTATGTTCTTGTGAGATTGATGGACCGTAGTTTCAAATATCATCCCGCCGGAACCAACAAACGTGGCGCGCTGTACTCAGGATTGGGGCCAGGTGTCACTTGGGCACCCCCTCTCGCTTCTCTCTCTACGGTATATCAAGTCTGTCCCGAACTCCAATGCTCGCTATCTCATGTCGAAACAAAACCGGACGAGGTTTTGAATTGCCGGGTCTCATAGAGATCAATAGGGAGCGACTGGAGTCGAATGGGTAAGGTGATGGTCCAGTGACATGCGCGAATTTTGAGCCTACGAAGCATCAAACACGACAATATCATCCATCGAGACCCCTAAATTATGGGCAAAGATTTCGATCCAGATCGGCTCCAGTTACGCCAGCAATAGGATTCATGTGGGCAATTACAACACACAAACACGGCTGCAACACAAACAAGTTGCCATTCATCTGGTGGCTGAGTTTTTATCGAATGGCTGGCCACTGAGCAGTGCAGGCAACGCAGGGAAAAATAAAAGGTAAACGTGGTTGGATTGGGAGCTCGTATGTTGAAGATGCGTCCACCAAATTATTGCCAAGTTCATCCAACTCCCGAGATGTGTCCACCAAATTATTGCCAGGTTCATCCAACTCCCGAAATGTGTCGGTTCGTGTTCTTTTTAGCTGCTGGTGTGGAACTCTATTGAGCGACCGGACAGCATCGCCGTCCGGAAGGCCATTGCTTTCTCAACGATCGGTGAACAGATCCAATAATCTGTTCGAAAAATTTAATGTCCAATAACCTGTTCAAGAAATTCAGTTCTGCTTAGGCACTCAAAAAAGACCACCGGTCAAACCTCGTCTTCAAATGCCTCGGAAGTTGACATACTCAACAAACTTAGGCCTGCTTAGAAAGCCACGGTAGCGAGGCCCACGAGTGC